ACCCAACGATGTCCAATGTTCATTAGAATGTATACATGGTCCCACTCAGTTCAAGGAAGTCTGTAATCCACACTTGTCCCAAGAATTGCACTGCTTATATTTTTATTGCGTCCACACTCTTCAACTGAACATTCATTTTTCAAAAACTCGTCGGACTTAGGTAGAGTCACAAAATAGTACTCAATTATGCTGAATTTCTGCTTCACTTTGTATTTTTTAGCCTTTAGGCGCAAGCAACACAACACCACATCAATGTCATGTAACACAATAGCAAACATGATTATCACATTCATGTTTTATCACAATTATAAATCCTGCAAATCCAAATTTCTAAATAAATGCACATGTGTTCATATTGTCTTTGATCTAATTGCAATCAAACCATGGTGCATAATACCATGATTTGCTTTAAAAAAAACTAGTAAACTCACCCGTGCGATGCGCGGTCGGAGAATATTCTCAAAAAATCGATCAAAAAAACAAGTATATGAACATATATTATAGATAATGAGTGGATTGAGATGCGATATTGGTTCAAACCCTAATTTAAACATTAAATAACAGAATAATAATGTTTTTACTTGGACTGTAATTTGTTGGTATGGTCTGATCTGTTTAAGTCTGGTTTGGTCTGTTTAAGTATGGTCTGGTCTAGTAAACGTCTGGTCTATGTCTATTTTATTACTACGGAAGACAAGTCTGGTTTGCACTAGTCTGTTTGAGTCTGGTCTAATCTGGTCTGATCTGGGACTGAAAACAGTCCAAGTAAAAACATCCTAAACCAACATACAAAAGTCATAAAAAGATAATTAAAATTGTTGAAAAACAATTAAAGTCAGCACCCTAAAATCAAAACAATGATTGAGATTTTGTAAAACTTCTTTATGCATCACAATCATAGTTTCATGATCTTAGTTTCGTGATCTGAATTACCGCCTCCATTTGAAATCAAAATCTTAAGATTATTCATATTGGTTACACTTGACACAACAACATATGAGTTTCTACAATAAGACACCAACATGGAGTAATGATTGTCCTTAACTTTTGTTTGTAATCCTAACATATGATGTCATTATTGAATATTGTTGTCTTTTAAATCAGAAATGACAATCTAACATCGAAAAGTGATAATGAAAATCTTGAAATCTAACATCGAAAAGTGATAATGAAAATCTTGAAATTAGAATCTCTTACTTGTGCTGAACCTACTGAGAGTTTTACTTATTGTTATAATCGTAGAATTATGTGATAGTAAAAATAAGTAAAGTTGAAATTCCTTTTTTTGGATGATCAGATTAAGTTACTCTAGAGAACTTATTCATATAACTTTTTCTCCACTTTATTCATAAGATATATTTTAAGTGTTATGTTTCCATAACTCTGCAGACTCAACCAATTCAAACGTTTCACCCATAATTTCATCAAGTTAGCACATTATTTTCAAAATACATTATATCTAACCACCTTGACTTGCGACCACGCGTGTGATGTGCGGTCGGTGAGTATTCTCAAAAATATCGGGCAAGAAATTAAATTAATTATAGAAATATATACTACTCTCATCCCTTCAAGAGATTAAAAATTCAACAATTTTAACCATAATTTTATCAGTTTTGACTAATTCAATCAATTTAAGTGTTATCAAACAGGCTAAATATAATGATATGAACCAATTCAATAGTAAATTCAAACAGGTTTAACCATATTTTTTTCAGTTTTAACCCCTCATCCGTGGTGTAAATGCTGAGCAACAACTACCGAGCTTTACTACAAAATAATAAAGAAACGGAGAACAAAAAGAGAGGGGAACCAACAACAATATCCCAGAATACATTATTGATAGTAAATTACTCCGTATAGCTTTACCGAGAGTTGACATACTATCTCAAAGTAAATTATTATTGATGGTAAATTATAGACAAAGGAAAAAAAAACAATAAAGCATAAATTAAATTATATTACTAATAAAGCACAAAAACTACTGTCGTACATAAAGAAATCCATACTTATCCCTATTAACTACTAAGCAATTGAAATGTTGAAAAGGAAATCTCATTCAGCTGCCTAAAATCTCTTACCGTTACTAAATGCATCCCTCAGTTCCCTTCTGCACTGGTATTACAACATAAGCTTGGAAAGGACTAAAAGCCTTGCCCCAAATTAAAATAAAACGTGGGCCAGTCGCGGCCCATAAAACCTTCTACCCATAAAAACATTCTGGTCGTTCTAGAGATATAGTAGGGGAGAGTTTGAGAGATCTGCCTAGAAGATTTACGAATCAGCCTGCGTCCCAAATTGGAATGTCGTTGACTTCTCTTGGCCTAGGGAGAATGAAGCCGATCCATCCTCGCTTTTGCCTCTGCTTGCTTGCCAGTTTTGGTAGCCTGGTTGATTTGGAGGTTTCTATCGCATGCCTAATTTCTTCACTCGATCAGGTGGTTCGCTTTTGGGTCGCATGTACTATATTTGTTCCTGGATGGATCTTTGACCCCTATTGTTTTCAAAATCATGGAGTCAAGTGTAATGAAATGGTAGGTAAAGGACAAAATGATGAACCAAATTGACAACCTCCTCGTCATAGGGAGCTTCACGGTAGACCTTGGTCGCTCTGGCCTTGATGACCCAGGTTGTCCTGCTTTGATTGATGACCACATTCCAACCATGCTTTGAGAATTATATTTCTTGCTTGGTATTTGCGAATAGAGCGTAAAGGCAGAAGGATGTGAAAAAGTTCCTGCCAGAACGGTGCTTTTATAGTAGAAAATCTACTTCCGTACTTGCTAAGAATACCATGACCCATTCCATTCACTGTTTGACCGGCCTTATCCACCAATACAATAGGAGGCCTGATTTTTTTTCATTATGTGCACCTCCATCTTTGGCCAATGAGAAAACATCACGCTGGAATGACCTTTTTATAGGTGAAGGAATCACTACCATTTGGGTGGAATGGCGTGGGCCACTGCCATGCCTTGTATTCCACCAATAGGAAGCGAGCTTGGCAAAATGCAGGCAATTGGAATTACCGAATGATGGCAAACGGTGTGGAACGCAAGTTTGGACCAATAGCATGCCTTGAAAGTGACCCTCATACCTCTCAAAGCCCCAATTGCAATAAGACAGGGGGAAAATGACCCAATACAACGCAAGAAGGCTATAAGGCATACACATACAGACAGCGATGGATTTCAGCGGGAACACTGTTCCCTGAAATTCTTTTGCTTTTAGATTAAGGTAGATACCATGATTTGTTTGAAATTTTCTCACCTGCCCAAAGTGACTTGCTATTTTTTAGTACTAGTGTGTCATGTTGCGCATTATATTTTCTCATGGGTTCTGTCTTGTGATTCTTCAGCAACCCTGTCTACAGAATAGAAGTAGACAACTCTTGAAATCAGCTCAAGGAGGATGTTTTGGATCTGAGGTAGTGGTCCTCTAAACCCTGTCACTTTCTGCGCACCACCTTCATTCTTCTTTCTCTTTTTTTTTGCATTGACATGCCCCGGCGAGGGGATTTTGGTTTATCTTTATTGTCTCTTCAGACTGTAATCAACTGCGTGCACCTCATTTCCCACGACTTCAACATGCATTGTTATTTCCCCTTCTTCATTTATCGATTTGGTACTTGTGTGCTCCACTTCAACACACACCTTAATGGGCAATTGATTCCTGCCATTGCTCGTTGCCCTTGCACATTTTGAAACAAATTATCCACCTTTGTAACCAAAACGTGAGTGCTGATTTGATCCTCAAAGTCAGTTCCCCTCTTTTTTTGACACGTGTTCATTAAGCTCCTTCAACCAATGCTCTGATTCTTAATGAACTTCATCAACTTCTTTCACATGAGCACTTTGGTCGATTTCTTTCTTGTCATCATTCAACAAATCCAACTCAAAGAAAGGCATTTTTTCTTTGAAGTAAAAACTTCCTACTCATTCCACTCTTACCTTTTTTTGCATTCACCATTAGTATTTTTACCATTGAAGATTGCTTTACTTGTAAATTACATAACTTTGAAATTGTACTCTCCCATTTTTCAACGTGTTGTCCCTGTAGCATAACCTCTTTTAGTATTTTTTTTCATTCACATTTGTTCACTTATTTCTCTTCTTTAAGAAGAACCCTCCATCTGGAATAAATCATCCTCAACCACTTCATCGGTGTTGCCATCTAGCAGCCCACTTTTTGTGCCCTTTCACCCTGCGTGAATATTTAACTTTTCCTTTTTTTTAAAAAAAAAATTTCTCATATTTGTGCGCAGTTGTATGCTTCTCGACAATCATCTCATTCAATGCATTGCCACAACACCATTGTTCAACTCCTCATTTGTGGGCTTCATTACTTCCCACTCAAATCATCATTACACAAAAACTATAGGTGTAACACCGTCCCCAAATATATTTACTTTTAAGTAAATAATGTATTAAACCTTATGGAATGGTCAATGAAGTTACGAAGTTGTAATTTTTACTAATTCTTTCGTGTGAATAGTAAATTGCACGTGGGACCCACATCGGGAGCGGGGACCACCCAACATTCCCGAGACCACATATTTTATTCATCTTGGTCTAGATAATAAATATATAGTGGTGGATATTTCATTTGGGTCATGGAAAGGCCCAGAGTTGGCCGATTGGTCAAAAGAAGCCCAAATTACCGGTACTGGTAATTTAACAGATAACAGCCCGAACTGAATTTCGGAGGCTTATAAATTAAAGTTGAGGAATGTATATTCATTATACACGTCATAATGAGTAAGAGCACATAATATATTTTATTTGACCCGATAAAATAAAATATATTTAAAACAGTCCGAAAAATACAACTTTCGGGGCCGATTGTACATTTCGGGACAAGTTGGGATTACCTCCCACATGAGTGGGGGCCACACCACGTTTTTGGGTCTCAATTGGGACTTGTGTGGCCGCACAACATGTGAGGATGGAGCTAAGTTGATTGGAATGGGATCATTTGAGGTGTGGGCCTCACCCACACACATTATTTGTCAACTAAGACAAAGGACACTTCCTACCTCCTTCCTCATCATTGTGCTCGACCAACCCCCTCCAAGAAGAAGAAAATTGAGCTCTCAAAACACTCTCCATTGCTACAGCTCGAGCTCAAGCCATAGAGGCCCAAGGAGGAAGATTTGAGAAGGAAAAAGTTGAGAAAAGTGTGATTAATTAAGGTAATGACCTTATTATAACTTTTCCTTTAATTTTCTTCTACCATATGAGGTATATATCATATGAAGGATCCTTAGTATGGTTCCACATGCTATAAGGGTGGATTTATGGGTTGGAAGATGGTTCTATGTCCAAGAACGGACTTAGGAGCCAAAACAACCGGTTCACCGGAAAATAACCTTTTTGAGGTTATTTGTATTAATATGGGTTTTATGATTATAAAACCTTGTTAGGAACTTGTAAAGGGTATTTCAAGTGATTTCACAAAGTTGGAAAAGTCGCCGGAGTTGACCAAAAGTCGCCGGAGTTTCACCGGGGTTCAACCAAGAAGGGTAGAACTTCATAACGCTAGTTTCAAGGTGAGTGGACGGCTTAATATCTTATAACTTTTGGGTTAATTATGAGATTACCTAAATAAATGTTATATGAGTTCATAATGATGTTTAAAAGATATTTAAACATGTGATTAGCCAATAGGGTTAAGATTGTATGAAAGAAATAAATTGTTTGTGCATGGAATATGACATGAAGAATTATATAAAATACATATTTGTTTGAAATGTATAAGATGCACCAATGAATATTATTAACTTAATTACATGATGATTAAGTTGATAAGTGTAAGACTTGAAATGGCGGTCAACGACAACGTTGACCGATGGACAATGGATTCATTAATATCGGTTGATATTAGTTAATTATACATTTATATAATTGCATGGCTTTGCATGGATTGTGATACATAAGCTTTATGTATTGAATTAGTTATGAGTAACTAAGTATGATATAGACTCTATCTAGGTTGATAGGAGGTTGATCATAGGAAAATATTTTGGTGGAGGACCCTAGTAATTAAAAGTACTTAACACTCAAAATTTGGTGGAGGACCCTAGTACTTAAATGTACTTAACACTCAAAATTTGGTGGAGGACCCTAGTACTAAAAAGTACTTAACACTCAAAATTTGGTGGAGGACCCTAGTACTTAAAAGTACTTAACACTCAAAATTTGGTGGAGGACCCTAGTACTTAAAAGTACTTAACACTCAAAATTTGGTGGAGGACCCTAGGACTTAAAGTCCTTAACACTCGGATTATAAATTGGTGGAGGACCCTAGGACTTAAAGTCCTTAACACTCGGATTATAAATTGGTGGAGGACCCTAGGACTAAAAGTCCTTAACACTCATAGATTATGATATTGAAATAGGGACAAGGAGGAGTCCTATACACTCATAGGTATATGGGTGGGTTGGAGTTTTTAGTCAAGAATATTGACTATTACTATTTTTCCCAAATAAAACGGTGATCCACGGATCGGGTATTTTCCAAGTATATATATATATATATATATATATATATATATATATATATATATATATATATATATATATATATATATATATATATATATATATATACTAATGAGTATTTCATAACTTGGGGGAAAAGACTATTTACATAAGTATCACCCTATGTTTGGGTCTTGTAATTGAAACGCTAGTTATTCTATATTTTGCCTGCTACTCGCTCGGTACTTGTACTGACCCCTTCGGGGGGGCCCCACCATTTTCAGGTTGAAGCTAGGGCTTGCTACCTGCACCTTCTTACGGGTGATATCAACTTCAGGGAGACGTGGTTCGTGCTTCCTTATTTTCTTTCAAACTACCGAACACATGCTCATGGATATTTGTTCTGCTATAAACTATTTTTGGGGCTTGCATGCCCATGTTGTTGGCCGGTTGTGGCTTATGACTTACCGTTGAATATTTCCGTTATTCATTGGTTTAAATGTGATGTTGTTATGTATGTTTACTACTGGGTATGGATGGATTATATTCTTGAACGCCTTGTGTAATTAAGTGAGGTTGACTCGCGGGTGACGTCACTTGATTATACGGCGGTTGTACACGCGCTTGGATTGCGGTCTGGGGCGTTACAATTAAGTGGTATCAGAGCCATCTCAGTTCTAAACTATATAATCAACCTCTCACAAAAGATTTTACAAAAGAGTTTTTGCCGAAAACCATGATCGAGCATTGTATTTTGACGTTTATAGGACTATTGGTGCTTAAGTTGCAAGGCCTCTAATTGTTAAGACGATACCCTTAACAATTGGTATGGTGGTGACTTGGGCCAATACGTGTCTGTAACGTTCTTCTGTCAATTGGCATTTATAGGAGTATAATGACTCATCCATATTTCTTTCAGAAATGGAGGGCAGGCGAATGGCAACCAGGAACAATCCGAGGGGGCAGGCGCCGGTAGCATCCCAAAGGGGAAGCTGGGCTGCATCTCGGGGTTCAAGAGGAGGCCGTGGAAGCCGTGGAGGTCATAGGGCTCAAACTGTGAGCGACGGCCATGTTAGTTCGGTGTATGAAACCAACACCGAAGACTACGACTCTACATATGTTCCGGAAATGGAGCATGAGGAGACCCCATATGATGGGGGTGACACGTACACTGACGATGATGATGAAGAGAGTGATGCCATTCAACCAAAGATCAATAGAGCAGCTGAGTTTTTGGCTTATCGAAACACCTCAATTAAAACCAATAATCATCATTTTAATCATTTTGTCGGTATTCTCAAGTTTGATGCTATTAGTTATCCGTATGTTTGTTTAATTTAGAATAGGCTTTGGTTTGGTCTTCCTACTCTTGTAATTTTGCTATCTTAATAAATTGGTGGGGTGTTCCCTGGCCCTCACCCCAAAAAAACTCTTCCGAGTTTTTTTGGAATCTCACCGGGACCAAAAAAAAAGAGAGAGAGTGATGCCAAGTTCGCCCAAATGGGCGAATTGCTTGAGTGGTATCTAAAAGAGAAACTGAGGAGAGACCTTAGGCGCCAAGCAAGGCGTGGCTCTCGTGGTGGTTTGGGTCAAGGAAGCCGGGGAGCTTCAAGGACCACTCCAGCGGCGTCACATGATGGGCGCGAAGGAGGTTTTTGTGTGAGAATCTCAAAGTACCTCAAGGAGGCTAGGGCCTTGGGGTGTAAGTCCTTTGACGGCACCGGTGACATTACCGTTGCCGCCGATTGGATAAAGAAGGTGAAGGATGCGGTAAAGGACATGCAAATTTCACCGGACGTGAAGTTGACTGTTGCTTCACGGGTGCTTGAGGGGATAGCTTCCACGTGGTGGGAGAGTGTAGAAGGGAAATACCATGGGGAGGTCTCATGGTTGAATTTTGAACAGGAATTTTAAGACCAATACTACACTGACTATGAGAAAAATGTCAAGCGTAGGGAGTACACCAACCTCAAACAGAAGGAGGATGGTTCTGTTAAACAGCTGGAGCAAGATTTTAGAACCTTGGCTAGGTTCTTGCCGGAGTACGCGATCAATGAGGACCGCATGTCGGAGCACTTTTGGGATGCCTTACTCTTGGACATCCGTGATCGGGCTACGTACTCGCGCCACATGACCTTTAGCGAGGTGGTGGAGCAGGGCCTTCTTGGGGAGGCTCAATGGAATGAGAGAAAGGAAAGAGACGTCAAGGAGGCGAAAAAGAGAAAATGGCATAGTTCGGGGCCGCCTGAGCAAGCACGGAAGAATAACCACGGTGGGGGTGGGGGTACGTTCAAAGCGCCGGCACCACCGGCGAAGAAGAACAAGGATGCTTGGTGGCACGCATCCTCCTCTCAAAATACGGGGCCTCCTAAGTGTGCCAACTTTTCAAAGAATCACTTCGGGAAGTGCAACGCACCCCCGAGGTGTTATCGATGTGGGAACACGGGCCACATGAAGGCCAATTGCCCACAATTGGGGGGAGGAGGAGCTCCGGGATCCGGAGGAGGAATCATGACGGGAAGAAACCGTGCGGGCCCTTCAAACGGCGGTACGGGAAGAGGCGGCGCGTCCACAAGTCATGCCGCGTCCGTAAATCAAGGCGGGACCCAAGCACGAGTGTACGCGATGACCGAGGCGGATGCGCGAGCAAACCCGGACTCCGTTGCAGGTAATACACGTATTTCCATGTGTTTCTGTGCTTACTATAATCATATAAGTCAAAGGGATTGAGTGCGGGCCACCTCGGGGTCAAACCGGGTGAATTTAGGCCAAAACGGACTGAAAACAGCTACTGCCCGCCGGGCACGCCTGCAGGCACGCCGTGCGTGCTACCCAGGCACGCCGTGTGTGGCCTTATGGGGGCATCGCGCCTGGGAGGCAGTAGCTCTCCAAGAAATTCGGTCGGACGCACGACCGTACGTACTAGCAGGCACGCCGTGCGTGACCTTCAGGCACGCCGTGCCTGGCCGGCAGTGGCGAGCAGGGAGATTCTGATGCACGCACGGCCGTGCGTTCCACCCAGTCACGCCGTGCGTGGACCCCCAGCACCCAAAAATCGATTTGTTGCCCCGTTCTTCTACGTTTGGACCCCCGTTTGATTCCAAACATTAGTATGAACCTAATAACCTCCTAAAGATGTGTAAAAACATTAGAAAATGTATCTTACATGGTGTATAAATGTAGGAACATTAAAGATCAATGGTAGGTGTGCGAGGATTCTCATCGATACCGGGGCACAACGCTCATTTGTGAGTGAGGCGTTCGCCGAGGGCCTTGACGTGCCATTGACACCTATGACGCAAACGTTGCTAGTCTCCACACCTTTAGGAGACGACATGGAGAGAAATCATTACTATCCGTCATGTGAGGTAGAAGTGACGGGTCAACCTTTGACTTGTAATTTCGTACCTCTAAGCATGTTGGAGTTCGATGCAATCCGAGGAATGGATTGGCTCGAGAAACATCATGCTCGAGTAGATTGCTACACCAAGGTGTTGGAGCTCGAGGATGATCAAGGAAACACGCTATGTTTCGAGGGAGATCGGGGGAAATCTAATGCTTGTATCATATCCGTGATGAGAGCACGGAAGACGATGAGGAAAGGATGCCACGCATACCTTGCCTACGTGGTGGACGATACCAAGAAGAAAGTCGACATCAAAGATGTACGGGTCGTGTGCAAGTACCCGGATGTCTCTCCCAAAGACCTACCGGGGCTTCCACCCGATAGAGAGATAGAGTTTGTAATTGAAGTGAAGCCGGGAACCAAACCCATTTCGATTCCTCCTTATCGAATGGCACCGGCCGAACTTCAAGAGTTGAAGGTCCAACTACAAGAATTATTGGACAACGGGTTCATCAGACCCAGTCATTCACCGTGGGGGGCACCCGTACTCTTCGTGAAGAAAAAAGACGGTACACTAAGAATGTGTATCGACTACCGACAGTTGAACAAGGTCACAATCAAGAACAGGTATCCTTTACCGAGGATTGATGACTTGTTTGACCAACTTCGAGGGGCAATAGTATTCTCGAAGATTGACTTGAGGTCGGGGTATCACCAGTTGAAGATCAAGGAGAGTGACATACCTAAGAGTGCATTTCGCACTAGATATGGTCATTACGAGTTTCTTGTGATGTCATTTGGTTTAACCAATGCACCGGCAGCATTCATGGACTTGATGAACCGTGTGTTTAGTGAATACTTAGATCAATTTGTGATAGTATTCATTGATGATATCTTAATATACTCCAAGAGCGAGGAGGAGCATGAACATCACTTGGGGCTGATACTTGATCGGCTAAGGGAAAAGCAACTCTTTGCCAAGTTCTCTAAATGCGAATTTTGGCTCAAAGAGATTGGTTTCCCCGGTCACGTCATATCCGGTTCGGGCGTTGCTGTGGATAACGCCAAGATCAAGGCTATCATGGATTGGGAGAGACCCAAGAATGTGAAAGAGATACGTAGTTTCCTTGGCTTAGCGGGATACTATCGTAAATTTGTTGAAAAATTTTCTGTATTGGCGTCTCCATTAACGAAGCTCACAAAGAAAGGGGCCAAGTTCATATGGGACGACAAGTGTGAGAAAGGGTTCCTTGAACTGAAGAAACGACTTACCGAAGCACCAGTCCTCGCCCTTAGCATCCAAGGGCTTGGATGTGAACTGATGCAAAACGGTAGAGTGATTGCCCATGCTTCGAGGCAATTGAGGAAACACGAGGTGAACTACCCTACCCATGACCTAGAGTTGGGGGCGGTAGTGTTTGCACTGAAGATCTGGAGGCATTATCTCTACGGGGAGACATGTCACATTTTTACGGACCATAAGAGCTTGAAGTATGTATTCACTCAGAAGGAGTTGAATATGAGGCAGAGGAGATGGATGGAGTTGATCAAGGACTATGACTTGATCATCGACTACCATCCAGGAAAGGCCAACGTCGTGGCCGACGCACTGAGCAGAAAGAGTACGTCGGGGACGCTACTCACATGTCTACAGGCATTGAGGGCACACGTGGAAGTATCCACGAGCGGGGCGCTCATTGCTAGGTTCGAGGTTAGGCCTACTTTGCTGGGTGAGATCAGTAGATGTCAGGCCATTGATGAGGAATGTCAGAAGATCCGCGAACGGATCCTTGAGGGGCCCGTTGAGAATTTTCGGGTACGTGATGACGGTCTTTTATTGTTTAAAGATCGTGTGTGCATACCAAGGAATGAGGAACTCCAGAAGTCTATACTTGAGGAGGCTCATTCTTCAGCTTATGCTATGCACCCGGGAGGTACTAAAATGTACCGAGATTTGAAGGAGAGTTACTGGTGGTCAGGTATGAAGAGAGACATCGCAGAATATGTGAGTCGGTGCCTTACTTGCCAGCAAGTTAAGGCAGAGCATCAGCACCCGGCAGGGCTTTTGCAACCACTTACCATCCCGGAGTGGAAGTGGGAGCACGTGACCATGGACTTCGTGGTGGGGCTACCACGAACAGTGAACAACTATGACGCAGTATGGGTAGTGGTTGATAGGCTCACCAAGAGTGCACACTTTTGCCTATCAACATTACTTATCCTCTTGAAAGATTGGCCAAGCTCTACACGGAGGAAATTGTGAGATTACATGGAGTCCCGATATCCATTGTCTCGGATAGGGATCCACGATTCACATCCCGTTTTTGGCCAAAGTTTCAAGCATCGTTGGGTATTAAACTGAAGTTTAGCATAGCTTTTCACCCACAGACGGATGGACAGTCCGAGCGGGTGATACAGATTCTGGAAGACATGCTTAGGGCATGTGCTCTGGAGTTCCAAGGAAGTTGGGACAAGCATTTGGCTCTAGTGGAGTTTGCTTATAACAACAGTTATCAAGCAAGTATCGGCATGCCTCCATATGAGGCATTGTATGGGAGGAAATGCAGAACACCGTTGTGTTGGGACGAGGTTGGCGAGGCCAAACTCGACGATAACATGTAAGTATATTAGAAACCGTCAAGAGTTTATCTGTACAGCAAAAGAATATGAGCAAAAATGTAGGCTATCCAAGGATTGGATAACCCATCACCTACCAAAATAAGGGGGCCATAGCAGCCCCCCTATGCTACCTCACGGCCCATCATAATCAGACAAAGTGATGGGCAAAAAGTTGTCAGAGTACTACCAAATCACAAGGATAAATGCTATACAAAATTTTATAGACAACATATTTTATCCTAGCAAAAATTTCCTCCTCTTTAGGCAAAAATCCATCAAATCTAGCTGCATTCCTGACTCTCCAAATCCAGTAGACGGTGCAGGAGAAAGCAATCCTAGCAGCCTTGGCTAACACATTAGCTCCGCTCCTTTCCTTCTTGATCCATTTGACCGAGCTAG